GTAGGGCTACTTAAGCATGCCCTACCTTTATATAACATCTAGGACAAAAATATTTGTATTTTATAGACCTCAGAAATACAAAACAGTTAATTATCTACATTGTATATCTAAAATCATGTCTCAGAAGAGATACGATTTCTGTAACCTGTCAAAAAAACCCCACTAAACTTAAGAGAAGCTGGTATAACCATTAGGAATAACTAACTCAATAAATAGAAAACAAGAGACTTAGCCCGATGCTCAGAAATACAAAACAGTTAATTATCTACATTGTATATCTAAAATCATGTCTCAGAAGAGATACGATTTCTGTAACCTGTCAAAAAAACCCCACCAAACTTAAGAGAAGCTGGTATAACCATTAGGAATAACTAACTCAATAAATAGAAAACAAGAGACTTAGCCCGATGAACCAACACAGGAATTCCATTTAATTACTGCGTTAGACCAACACATGGATATAATGATAAACCAGTTAGTTTTATTATATTCACTTTTTAGACACACTTATAGGGTCTACAATGACAGTCTTTTACCTGACAGAACAAGAAAACCTTCTAAGTTACTAACTACTGCATCATAGCAATAACTATTCCGTAAACTGTGAATCAGTTTCTGAAGCAATTACATTGGTATTAGAAATAGCATACTTTTACAGAAGATATTTGGAGCAAGTTTTAGACTTAACCAACAGATTTAAAATGGTACTGCAGTACCACATTAAACAGCGTAACTTAATACATTGAAATGTGTAATTACTATTTCCCATTAAAATAGAAGCCTGAGATTCATGCAATATTGCTCACTTGAATGAGTAATAAAAAAATTGAGTTACTCAGCTGAGTTATTTGTCACTATGATATCTAATAATCAACAACTGAAAATCACATTTTAGTATATAATATTAGTATAATCTATATACAAATATTAGTCCCTTTATTTAATTCTTTTGGGGAATAACTATCTTTTACAGTTAACCTTTTGGGAAAAAGCCAAGATTTTTCATTAGGGAAACCAAAGGAAAATCACAGAATCACAGAATATCTCAAGTTGGAAGGGACCCATAAGGATCACCAAGTCCAAATCCCTGCTCCTCACAGGACTACCCAAAACTAAACCATATGACTATCAAAAGAAATTGAAAAAAATGTTAACTGGGAATATCTTGCAGAAAATGTCACGCTAGTTTTTTTATTATAACTAAATCTCACAAAGTATGTGTACACCTATGTACTTCACATAGAAGTTCAAAAAATGCATTACTGAAAAATATTGACATCAAGCTTGTCCAAGCACCCAGAAGTCAGTATGATCTCCACCGTATCTTTTTTCACTTTGTATTTTAAATTATACTGGCAAGAATAACTACTGCCATATTTATTATGTACAAAGCAATATGCAAAACTATCATAAGATACAATATCTCAAATCTGTAACACACTGCTCCCCAATTTCCACACTTGGGGAATGGTAGTGAAAATGTATGTATTTAAAAGTTGTAATTTGAAACTGTAATGACTTTTTTTCCTTTTTTCCACTTGAAACTCAGACTTCATGGTGTCAGAAAGCTACGGTTAATAGAAAGTCTATTTTTCACTGAGTCTTCTCAAAAACCCTTCTTAGATGGCCACATTTTCCATAACGTTATGGTTGGGAACATTACTGTGCCATTGAAATAAATCTGTATTCTCCCTACTTACTGCATGCTCGATCACGTTTATAGGATTAAAGTTTGTGCATCTCAAAACCACTCCAAGGAAACTAAATTGGAAACTCTGCAGGAAACTCTGTGGACCAAAAATGCCTAATGGAAACCCAAGGACAGATCTGAACTACACAAAAGGTTACAGCGTTTTTTTCATATCAATAAGCTTCACATGGAGAAATAACTTCTTGAACTGTGACTCTGAAACAGAAGACTGAAGTGCATACACTCTCATAAAACAGGTATTAGATACTGAAAAGGGGATCAATAAAACCATCTGCCCTGCTCTAAGGCTCTACCTGGTAAAAAATAAAATGCAATTTTCCTATTGTATGATTACCTTTATTACAATATATTGCATTCAGTATAAATAAACTGTAAAAACAGTAATAAATCTACAGCAAAAAGGGGAAAAAATAAACCAAAGGAGCACTGATTATAAAACAAAGGTAAGACAGACTGAAAGATTCTTTTACAAAATTGTAACACTGAAATTCAAATCTTGAATTGCTGGAGTCAAAAACAAGATTTCCAAGAAATATGCATGGTCAAAGCGATAATTTTTCTTCAGAAGAAATCACTAACTACAGCACAATCATATTTTATTGCCAGATGCATCGCAAGAACCACTTCTACACTACTAGATTATTGGAAATTTCTTTCAAGACCTGTACATTTTTGCTCAGAGCAAGTATTTGGTGGCTGTTAATCAAAGAAAGCTCAAAAAGTAAAAGAGTCAATAACTAAGAACTCAGTTTTTAATTAGTAAGTTTAGTTTATGGAAATGCAAAAGGGACTGTAATGCAAGTAGCAAACACTGTTAGCTAGTGTTTATCTCTATACTTTTCAGAACCCATAGTGCTTCAAAGTAAAACTACATTGGATATTAATGCTTGGTATTGGAAAACAAGAGGCCAAGCAGAGAACAAGAGAAGACATTCCAAAATGCCTTGGAAACAGACACAACTAATGCACTCCTCCCACCCCCGTCCCATGTCCAGGAGGTATACCGTGGTCATTAACACATTAGGAACTTTAAGGCAGAGTTTTTCTTAACCAAAGAAATTCTTGATCCTTAAATCTAGTAAATAGATTTAAGCACTTTGTTGCACTCATGTACTGACTCTGGCTGGGACAGAGTTAATTTTCTTTATAGTAGCTGGTGTGATGCTACGGTTTGATTTGGATAAAAGACAAATATGCTTAGTGATATAGGCAAGTTTACACTTTGCTAAATTTATGTCCTTTATCACAGAGTATTTGCAAAACTTTCCCTGTGAGAATTTTTTTTTAATCGTATTTAAAGGAAATACCTCTATTTCCATAGAAACAACTCCTTTCTTCTTATATTTTTTCACATGATGACACCATATACGGAAATTACTCTTTAAGCAACCATTTAACCAAACCTGCTTGTTTCAAGAAATAGTGGCTCATTACTTTATCCTAGGAGAGAGCAAAAGCAGTAAATGTCCAAATATGTATAATATACTGACAGACCTTGTTGCTTTTCTTATACTTGTTGGAAGAGCCAAGACAAATTCCATCATGAACCACATGCGAACAATGACACTTGAAACACAGTTTTACTTACTGACTCATTTCCCTGCATTCTTCCCTCCCCCATCAGCCTGTATCCTTCTTCTCCACCCTTTATCTTATGTTTAAATAATTTCTTTGATTCAGGACTTAGCCGATGGTTCTGCATTTACAGAATGATCCACACAAGGTGCTTCCAGTCTGCAACCAGTGTTACATGTCACAGAGCTTGTGACAGACTAAACCCCAAGGAGTGGAATGTGACTCACTGAGCAAACCCCTAGAATGGAAGATTGCTGGTGGAGATGGGGATGTGCCCATGAAGCTCAGGGAATAATGCAAAGAAGCTGACCTTATCTCAACACAAAGGGTGGCCTTTGTTTTAGATAAACAGCTATCAACAGTTGAGTGGATCAACTGGTGGTGTAAATGTTTCTCCTTGAGTTCATTAAAAGAGTGTGAATACCTCCCAGAGTTAGCCAGACCGGCATGGGGGGAGTGAATATGTGGCTCAGCCCAGGCAGAGTATAAAAACTAGACAACTAACAAAAGAATTTGGAAGAGAGCAACGGGCTGGAGCTGGCTTCAACCCACGTATTCCTTCCCGGCAAGTGGGGATGCTCAGCGTTGTGACGGTGAGATAGAGACTGGTAATGGGAATCATGTTGGTATTGTGACTAAACCGTGTATTGCAATTGCTGTATTTTGCCAAGTGTAACTTGCATATGTATTGAGTTTTCAGTGTATTTTGTATCACTCTGCTATATCGTTGGTATTGTGACTAAACCATGTATTGCAATTGCTGTATTTTGCCAAGTGTAACTTGCATATGTATTGAGTTTTCAGTGTATTTTGTATCACTCTGCTAAATCAGAAATCCTGTGTAACATCAACTGTCTTCAAATAAGTAAATTTGATCATTACACCCTCCATGCATGGAATATCTAAAACAACCTGGTCAGAGAGTACTGGACTCTGACAGAGCAACACAAAACAGCTGCAGCTCATAGTCTTATTTTGGTTGAAGTGAACAAACCAGCACAAATACTTTCTAGATCCAAATATCTTCTGTATCTTAAAAGGAGTACCAGAGGTAGCCAGTTAAAAAAAGATTAAGTTTTCATCCTGTAGCCCACTACTGCAAATATGGCCTCTAACAAGTTTAAGAAAAAAAAATTAAACCTCACAAATTTAATACTGTAAAAGACACTGGAAAACAACTGATTTAAGTTCATTCTTATTTAAGTATGGACATTCCTACTACTCTGAACTCCTTTTGTGATTACACATTAATTATAATAGCTGTGATATTAACTAGGGCTACAATAAATACCAAATGTATAGATGGCTAGCACTGGTTAGAATACCCGTAGTGAAGAAATATTTGGGTGCCTAGATTCACAGATATTACAAAGAAAATACTTGAAGAACCTGGACAACTCTATCTTGCAATAAGACTATATATATCAATATCTGATAGCTGTGGACTTACGCACAAATCCCTATATATCAATATCTGATAGCTGTGGACTTACGCACAAATCCCTACTTGAATATTTAAGAGACTAATATGAGACTTCTAAATAATGAAATACACCCCTAGGTTAAATAAACAATGCGCTGAGTTACAGACTGTAAAATGTATGAACCTTTCAAAGTTCAGAAGTATGATCACAAAGCTCTTAGAGCAGAAAATGTTTAATCTGTTCCAGACTTTCAAACCCACCTCCCTCAGGCAGACAAACAGAAACCCACCAGTGCAATTGACAAGAGAAGCTATAAAAATTCCAAGGTACTTTTACAGGTAAAATGGGCTTAGGGTACAAAGAGGAATAAGATCATTAAAGTGTGGATCACCTGCTTGTTTTTCGTCATGCACATACTGCATTTCATTCATCACGACTTAAGTCTTACTTTGAACCATTTAGATAGTGCTTCAGTTCTAGCTGTTCTGACCAGGTAGCACAAGGGGAATTACAACTGCCAAAGATGAGCAAAGACTTTCAATCCCTCTTGTAAGTGGAAGGATCAAGAGGAGTATACTTAGCAGCATTTAAGCATTCAACAGCGCTCTCAGTTCATGTCCTACAAGGTAGGACAAAATGGTGCATGTAAGTGTTCACTTCACCTGTTAACTGCAACAAAGAAAGTGCCTTATAACACAGGCTTTTAGCTTCAAGTCTCAAACAGAAAACTTGGAAGGGTACATTTCCAAATATATAGGGATTTCACATTCGCTTTTACATGTGCAGAAACACATGTGGAAATAAATCTGAATACATAAGTATGTATAAGTCACCTTCCAGATATGAAGCATTTTTACTGATGCAAATGCAAATGTTGTAGACAATTTGCACCCACAAAAAACCCTAAACCAATGGTTTAACACTTCTTGTCACTGAGATCAGTTTAGGGCTCTGAAGGGCCCTCCAGAGGCTCTACTAATGATATAGAGTCTAAGTAGAAAGCAAAATTAGATGTCCAGAATTAGGTTGCAATTCTGTACCAGAGAACTAAAATTCTAGAACTAACAGGTTTTAAAATTTAAAAAAAAAGCAAATTTGACTATGGTTTAGGGAGCTCTGAATTTTTTTTTTTTTTCCTCTCCATTCCTTGGTGTTTTTATTTCAGAAAGAAAGAGACAACTAAAATTTACTTCTCAAACAAAACCATGAACATTTCTATTTGAGGTCTACAGCATGTTAAGTTCACACAGATTAATTTTATGTCATGTACATAATGTACAATGAATTAGGAAATATATAATAAGGCATTTATAAGTCAAACCTGAAGAATTTCTGTTACATTATTACCAAAAAAAGTCTGTTTGTGGAAAGCAGAAGTAGAAGATAAATTATTAACACAAACAACAGGGTAAAAGTAGGCTAATCAATCCTAAAATTTAGTGAAAAAGATTGTTCAACCAATTAAGTTTACTTTGCTTACAAAGCTATTTTTAACATTTTGATAGCTGGGTTTTTTTCTGGCTATTTGGAAAAAAATAAAGTCTTTCTTTAGTACTTCAAAATATGATATGCTGTCTTTATGAAAATCATTTAACAGTTCACCTATTCACTTTTCTACTGAGATCAACTAGAATTGAATGGACAAGATTTTTCTCAAAGAGAATAAAAAACCCAGGCAGTCATACAGACAGGTGGTCATACAGACATGCATGGGTTAATCTCCAGTAGCTCATATCACCAAATACTGTTTTAGAAAGGCAACTGACAACATTAGAACAGGACATTAACTCTGGCTGCCAGTAAACACACTCAAAACATGTGAACGTAGTGTGAGGAGGTTAACATTATGAGCATCAATGTAGCCTAGTGTTGCAAAGAACTCTGCTTCACAGCTCAGTAGTAGAAACTCTTAATTTCCTGGTCTGATACAGGTATAGCTGTCAGTACAGACATAGTGCCTTTTTTTTCTGAAAAAGAAAAAAAAAAATTTATCATTTTGGAAAGGCTGTTCTATGTTGTTGTAGAAAATAGCTAGTCATGTAGCTTATAAGCAAGTAACTGTAAGAGGACGGGATTACTTTCACAATTAGCTAAAGAAAGAGTATTGTGAGATAGTATTGCAAAAGCCAGTGAACTATTTTCAGCAGAGGAGATAGATTCTTGTAAGGAGGGATGCAGGGTGTAGCATTAAATGAATCCATTCCCAGAGCAGCCAGAAGCCAGAGATATGGCATACACTTTGAAATAAATTCCTACCAATAGGAAAACTAAAAACCATATACAATACCTTTTGTTCTCTCTAATTATCCATGTGCAGCTTTCATGGTCCACAGATGAATAGAGTTTTCCTTCCACCAAAGGAAGCTGGTCTTTCAGTGTAACACATATGTTGTCAGGGGAAAAGCGTACTTTTATGTCATCCTTAGTGATGTCTTGAGGAATGTGAACTGTTACTGTCACATCATCTTCAGTCTGCTGCCAGTAATAGAGAGGGTCTACAATTGGAAACATGCAGAAAAATACAAACTAGATTACAAATGCTGTCCTGGATTCCACGGCATGCAGTGCTGGGAGATATGGAATAGAAGTTTGTGGAAGAGTGGAAATTAACTTTCACCTTGAACAATTTACATAAAATATATTCTGATTACAAAATGGAGAAACATTTTTTTAGCAATCAAGTTCATTTGTGTCCCTCGTCTGGAGAGCAATTTATATTCATGTCTATACTCAAATATGTCGATAGAGTTATACAGTAGGCACTAACTATTACTCTAAGTTTATTGTAGCATACAAAATTGATAACCAAAATGTACTTAAATACACTGAAACATTAATGATTAATAATTTGGTTGAAGAGACATCAGGTGCAGTGGTACTGACAAGCCACTGCATGCTCAGAAGTATATGCCATTCCGAGATGTGAACATTTTTTTCTTACCTATTTTGCCAGAAGCTACACTGACTATTCAATAGAAATGATTTTAGAAGACCAAGTAGTCTTCATCTGCCTCAGTTGATGGAGATGAGATAAAACTGCCTGCCCAGAGGTAATGCTTGACTTTTGCTCCTGGGTCTAGAATCTGCCTCATGTCTATCTTGATTATTAAACTGCTACAAGAAGTGGCCTTTTAAGAGAAATGTTTATATAAAAGGAAGGCTATGACAGCATGATTGGGTAGTGCACAGTTGGTCACAGAAAACACAAATAGAGATGCATTCATTTTCTGAAGAGTCATCTTGTACATGTTACCTTCCTGTTTGGAGGAAAAGTAAAGTGTGGATAGAGCCTTTGGAAGCTCTCAAGCTGTCACAACCCAATACAAGATTTAGTTGATCTAAGCTTCATGTCAGCAACCGTGACTCTGGAGGGGCTCTTACACTGTTGTCTGTTATCACGAGTTTCCTGTTTGTAATGGAACAGTCACAGGTGCTACAAATATACCTCCCAGACACTATTAGTATCTGAGATATGACAGCCTTCAAAATTCTAAACTTTGACACAGATTGTATCTGATAGTAGAAGTCTTAATTTGTAAGAAAACTGAATGACACCAAAAAAGTAGCTTAGACTTCCCCTCTCCCCTGTCTTCAAGACAGCCTTCTCATAAGCTGTCAAAAATGTGTAGAGAAGACTATGAAAGAGCAAACTAAACCCCAAAATACCGATGTGCAACATAACCACCTTAATATTTCTTTATCTATTTTGTAAAATCCTATAAAAAACAGAGTTCTGTTGCTGGCACATCTTGTTTCATTATCTGATATCTATTACGCCTGCAATTTTATATAACCATGAAACTAAAATTATAGCCTAAATTAAGTTTAGCGAAAGACAAATTCTCTCTTAAAGAGGAGACTTCCCTCTAAACTAGGAGTTCAGGTGTCAGTACTTTCTCTACCATTAGATTTTTGTGCCATGAGAAGTTTTCTCAAGGTATTGCTGCAAACAGTACTCCACACATTACAGATTTCTGGGCTTTGGCAACAGCATATGTGCGCATACATGCATGAAATGAGCTATCCTTAGAGCCATATAGTGCTATTTACTGTGTTTCTTTAATCACACCGAACACACAACTCAAGAACCTCTTAAAATCCTTAAAACATTGAACTAGCTAATTCAGGTGACAACTGCATAGACATTGCATTATGGTGCTCAGTGCACTGAAGAACTCCTTTGCCTCAAGATTTATACATACAGACTATTCTTAATATAATTACATGTACAAAGTCAGTTTTCACAGTGTATAACATTAATACATTCCAGAAAATTGATCTTTCTGTATTGTTTCCCAAACAGATTTTTGTACCATGGACAAAGATTGTGCTAGTATCATTCCGGTAGGATTGGTTCATTAACCAATGTCTCATATTCAGAAGCAAAAATCAAACCTGAAACAATGAAATATAACTACATAAACATACACATTACAGAGCTCAGCGATATTTAAGATAAAACAACTTTATTAATAGGTTTTTACATGCCTAATTTTGTTTTGATCTAAAAGAAAAAAAAGTACGGACGCCTTTTGTTGAAGTTTATTATTTTTTCTGAACTGCTTTCCCACTGGAGAGAAGATAATCTTTTACAGGATTCTCATTCTTTAAAAAGGTTTTTTTTTTTTTTTTTTTTTTAGAAAGGCAAGAGTAAATTACGTATCAGAGAGCTTTCTGAGGAACAACTATTTGGGGGAGTCAATGGGTGCCACACTGCCCTCTCTCATCTAGGAAGACTGGCTTCTTAATTTGAATATGTCAGCCAGATGCCTAAATTTAGGTGCCACCTTAGCAATTCAGCTGCTAGCAAATATTTCGTACAGTTCTGTTTGCAAAATATCATCTTCCTTAAGGAAAACAAAATTCTTTAAGTGTCTCCTACCCAAAAAAGCTTCTCAAATAGGTTTATGCACAATACAACTTCCCAGGGTGAAAACAAACAAAAAAAGCCAATCTGTCCTTAAAATCTGTCCTTAAAAAATCTGGAAGATAGATATTAAGACAAACTTTTACTGCTAGAATTTCCAAACAGATGCTAAACTGACAAGCTATTTTTTAAGCCAAAAGAGAGAGTAGCCTATCATAATCTGCCAAATAAGTCTTACCTTTCGTTTCATTTGTTGCTTTTGCATCGTCATTTTCTTCTAATTTGTCGTCTTCATCTTGCATAAATTTGAATGGTTTGTAGGAAACAATCATTAGACCATCCCCACTCGGCTCTATTGCTGCATAATGGGGGACTGATTTTCCTTGTAGAAATCTCCTTTTAAAGATTTCATATCTATGATCACCTAGAAAATAAAATTTAAAAAAAAAAACTTACTGGTAATATTCTTCTAGAAGACAAATGATTATATGAGAATTTACACTTAAAAATACTAAGCAACCCTACCAGTTAAATCACAGTACCGTAGTTTAAAAAGAAATTTCTCAGAGTTCGGTTTTCCAATGCGTTTGTTAAATACGTAGACCCTAAAGTTAATCTAACATTGCCCTTTTTCCTTACGATGGCTTTGTTGACCACAGCTAGCCCAGCAATTCACAAAACCACTCACAGCCTCTGTACAAACAAGTTTTCCAAATACTTTTTGAGCTGCTGTAAAAACTTGAGAAGCAATGAAATAGCTAGTGGTAACACTTTATTCGTAGCAGAAAATGCCCATCTTCCTCGACTTTTGTAAAACACTGCCCTTTAAAAGGGAGGTCCCAGAGGTTAGCTACTGGTGTCAAGGACCATGCCATTCCCTACTGTGCTCCCAAACACATGAGAACTGATGACTCAAAACACCGGTAAGGTGACAGGTTCTAGGACAACGTTTGTTCTTTTTCCATTAGAATCTGACTGCCCGCAGAGTCCTCAGTAACTGATCAACTTCTGAATAATAACAGATTGTACAAACGGATTTTCAGCAAAAAACTAACAACTTGATAAAATTCTCACAGGTGATAAAATTATCCACAGGAGTTGTTTAGTCTTTCACATTTATGCTTCATCTCTTCATTAGAAAGAAATCACTGCACTTGTAACTACAACTTTACTTGAAAGAAACTGGGAACTCATTAGCAGAGACGTTAGACAAGACCAGATTATGATGGTAAAAATCATCTATACCACTCTAGTACTCCAAAATGTTTTCCTGTTTGACCTCAGTGTTAAGCTTAGAGAAACATCGAAGTCACAGAAGAATACAGATAATAATGGATAAGCCAGGTATAATTTAGGTCCTCTCAATTGGTTATCTTGTTTGCTAAGCAAGAAGTGGAGTAAAGAATAAAAACCAGGCTACAGCGTAATTCTGGTACTTAGTGGTGTTAATTAAAGGCCCCTCCTTTTTCCTAAAAAGTTTGGTCGGGGTGGGGGGCGGGTATTAATTGAAGAGATTCAACCATTCTAATTAGAGACAGAGTAAGAGATCTATAGAGTCAGAAGACTCCAGGCAACAGGGTAACCTGCTTGAAAAATTAACAAATTACCTCGGCTTAGATACATGACCAAAAAGAGCATGTCTTTGTTATAGTGGGAAGTTAGCCACTCACTGAATGCGCTGTTATTTAACTGTCCGAATTGAATTGTGCGCTGAAACGTATCAAATCTGTTTGCACGTCTCTCTCACAGCATTTGCTCACTTATTAAAAGCCTCTACAACATCACAACTTATCGTTGCGTGACCAAACCTTTTGTAGAGTATTTTCAATCATCAACATGTTTAAATTTTTTAAGTCAGTCTTTATGGTTTTTTTATTAAGTTTATACTACATGATTTTTCTTGTGAAGAAGGTCAGAGGAAAGCTAAGCATGTAACATTTTCTGAGTCTAAGAAAGCAGCATGGTGGCTCTTCATTTCAAGCTTTTACAGTGAGGATTCCTAAAACATTAGAAAACAACAAACTTTGAAAGGGTACACCTTTGTCACAACCCTCTGAAGTACCACACAACATGTGAACAGACCTAACCCCTGCTTCCATTCAGATTCATCTTCATGCCGCCGTTTTCGTTCTTTGGTAATACAATAGCGGTAGGTGTGATCACTTTTTCTAGCCAACCAGGCATGGCAGAGACTCTCACAGTTGTTGGTGTCAAGAGACATAACTATGTCTCAAGGCTTTGCTTTGATAAAGCATAGATTTTGGTAACCTGAGAAACGGCTCGTTGGTTAACTACTTAATTCTACTGCAATCTGATTTGATAAACTGCAGAGTTTCAAGAAAAGTTAAGCATAGCGATTGCCTACTGATGAGAGAGGATGTAAAGTAGCGTAATTCCTCAAAACAGCTTTCATCTCCGAGACTGGTTCATACATCACGCTGATTTGCAAGGTGTTTATTTAAAAGAAATCAAAACTTACTTCTCTCTTCATCATTAAAGTTTGCTTTGAATCTTGTTATTTACATCTCTGCTGACTGCAATTACAAAAATTTTGTCTGTTCCTTGGAAATGCTGGAGAACTGGCAAGTTTTTTGGGAAGATTTTTAGATCCACTTTTATGGAAAAAGTTTCATTCCATGAACATTTGTCTTAAGTTCTAAAAAACACACTGTAAAAAAGAACTTGTTTATGAAAATATACAGTATTATAAAATACAGTAAAAGTTTGTGTTAGTGCTCTCTTTAAGCAACTGTCTTCAGTTCTACACTGGCAGTATTACTGATTTAATTTTTCTTACAAGATATAACCAGTAATGTTCAGAGTTTTCTTTCTCTTGTTGAGCTGGCCACAAAAGCATAAGGCAATCTCTCGTGGCTTTCTGGTTCTCTTAGAAATATTTCCATCACCCAAGGTTTCAACAGCAGGCAACGTGAATAAAGCCACTCGTTCTCCTATCCACACTATATGTAGGAGACCGAGGAACATTTGGATAGTAACATCGCAGTATGCAATCAACTGCTTTAGTTCAAGTAGTTAAAGATCTTGTTTCTATCGGTATCAAAATCATACTTTTTGGAAGATAATGAACGAGACCACATCACAGTCCTCCCAAAAGGTAAGTTCATTTAATCCACACATCTTTAAATCAGACGCTGAAGCATGGGGTCTTGTATCCTTTATAGAAATCATGATATTTAAGGTAAGTATATATGGTCATACTGAACAGATAAATTACCCTTTGCCAAAATTTATGAGGATAATACATTAATTAGTAGGTATTAATACACTAACATGTTTTTAATGTGTTGGTCTAAAATTAACTGAATAACTTCATACTCTTTCATTGTAGGAAAACCTAGTATGCAGTATTTACTTTTTATGCTACGGTTCTTATATTTATCTCACACTAATTCCAATCCCACAACACTGTTAATTGGAGGCTAAAAAACCAACAAAAACCCCAACAAAAACCCCAAAACATAACCAAACAAAACCTCATATCCGGCTGTACAACATTTTGAAAAGTATAACAGACATTAGTTAGAAATCGTTCTGTATAACCTCGATTTTACAAGATCAAGCCAGACAGGAATTGCATTTCATTATGTCACAAAGTAAAGTTCTATCTTCTTTTTTAATTACATTAACCACACACGTATAAAACTTTACTTAGAATCATAGAATCATTAAGGTTGGAAAAGACCTCCAAGATTATCGAGTCCAACTGTCGACCCAACACCACCATGTCCACTAAACCATGTCCCTAAGCGCCTCATCTACTCGTCTTTTAAATACCTCCAGGGATGGGGACTCAACCACTTCCCTGGGCAGCCTCTTCCAATGTTTCACC